CGGGAGAGGGAGAGATTCATTGCAGCTTGCTGTGAGTGGTAAGAGGCAGGCTGGCTCAGAGCCCTCACCTGAAGAACTTGGACACACGTGCCAGGGCTCTCTGGACCCGACCCTTCCAGGGCCTTCTCGGAGGAGCAGCCTTCCCAGTCCCTCATGGACCATTGGATGAGTTCTCCATGTTGTGATCAAAGACAGTACCTTCCTGGAAATATTGTTGTGGGTTTCTCACAGTCTGAAAAAGAGAGTTGAGACCTCATGTTTGCGGTCCCTCATGACTGCTGTCCATTACCTCATGTGGGTACTGTGAGTGTATCTGCACTGCTGGTTGAGGTGCTGAGGATGGAGAAGTGGGGAGACCAGGCCTGAAGAACCCCAGTACCCCTGGAGGATGTTCCAGAGCACATGAACATGAATCTCACCTGCCCAGGGGGTGGAAAGAAGGGAAAGAATATCATCTTCCTAGAGAGAGACGCCACACTCAGGACATTTATCCACAGTTCTGCTGAGGTCCCCACTGTGCTGGCTGTGGAACTGAGACCTGGCCCCTGCATAGCCCTAATCTCCACCCCTCCACGGCCCTAAGACCCATTGTTCCTGGCCATGGGTCCTCCCTGCTTCAGTTCAGTACATTGTGCTCAACCAGTAGATACATTTCTGGAGCATGGCCTTCATCCTAACTCCCGCCCCCGGAACTTTCTGTTTCTTCCTCTGCATTTCACCTTCACTCTGGCCAGCTCAGCAGCCTGAATGAAGTTCTGCAGGCTGAACTGAAAATGCCAAAGTCTTCGGGTACATGGTGAATTCACTGTGCGTGGGGTCTCCACTGACAAATGTGCTTACAAGGCCTGCTGTGGTCGCCATGTTTAGTTAGGTCTGTGAGGTTTCTCATGGCGCTCTCTTGGTGCTTGGTCCAAATCGTTCATAAAATTCCAGAACAAGGTCTGGACATGGCGCTCTGAGGTCGGAAGTCCTGGACCCTTCTTCTTCTCTCTGAGGCGTTTGCTCTGTGCAGGTTACCCGCATATCTGAGCAACTGCTTCTGGTGAATGATGGAAAGTATTTGGGGGACTGTAGAGCGTGTACAATGTGCAGGGCAGTCCTCAGGTCGTAGGTACTAAAGGTTAGCAGTTTACTCTTAGATTTGAGATTCACTTTGGGTTACATCTTGGAATCTGTTGGAGCCATCGATCTTTGTTTGCTTTTTTTCCCCTCAGGGCATCCACTTTTTCTGTCCCATTTCCTAATAGAATTATTGTGGAGCCTTTGTAGTGCTGACTGTGACCTGCCTCTGCTCTCACTGGTGTGTGTGTCCTGTCCTAAGGTGACTCCGTGCTGTGGTGCTTACCTCCGTGTTGGAGCATGGTAATGAAATGCTGGGGTTCAGACATTCTCCATCTTTGTCCTCTTCCAAATGTCATTGGCCCTTGTGTGTCATAAGCACTGCTATAGGTCTTTTAGCAATAACTTTTCCTTCTCTTGATGATTACAGAGAGTGGAAAACTTTTGAGTGCTTTAAACAGTGAGCATAGCATACTTTATTTTAGTATCTATTAGCAAGATTTTAATAATTTTCTCTAAACAAATGTTCCAGTGCTTGTGCCCATATTCTTCACAGATATTTTGTTTGTTTTAATGTTTTTGTAGATGTCATTAAAAACCCTTTGGGTCTCCAAACTGTAGAAACAATCTCCTTAATTGTTTCTAATATAATGAATTTTATTGGTATTTTATATACTAAATTTTCTGTTCAAATACTTTGTACTCAGTTTCTAATATTTAGAGACGGTTTTTATCTGGAATATGTAGTGATGCGGTGAACAGGCCTGCTTTTTGTCCTGTCCGGCTCTTGCACAGCTAGCTTAGCCCCAGAAATAATAACACAGAAACCGTATTCATTTAAACACTGTGTTGTCCATATTTCCTGCCTCTTATTGGCTAATTCTCCTATCTTGATTAACCCATTTCTAATAATCTGTGTAGCCCCATGAGGCGGTGGCTTACCAGGAAGATTCTAACCTACGTCCATCTTGGGCTGTAGCTTCATGGCGTCTACCTGACTCTGCTTTCTACCCAGCATTCTGTTCTGTCTACTTCACCTACCAAATTTTCTGCCCTATCAAAAAGCCAAGGCAGTTTCTTTATTTAACCAATGAAATCAACACAAAACAGAAGACACTCCTACATCAGGAATATGGAGTATTTCTTCTATCAAATATGTCACTTTTAACAGAAGATAATCCAGAGGTGTTTTTTGTTTAATGGAATGCAATTAACTAAACGGTTCATAATTAGACAAAATGCAGAAAACATTGACTGTAGAGTGTTCAGCCATAAATGAGATATCTGTGTCATATGATCCTGTTTCCCTCTACTCCTCTCCACTCTGGTCTACCCCACCCCCACTCCACCAAGATTCAGGGAACTTTGTAAAGACAAGGCAAGGATAGTATAAGACTCAAAGTCAGGGAAAACCAGGACTAACAGTGTCTTCTGCTTATCACAGAATCACTTACTTTTGAACTTGTAGCACAAAGTCAGGGAAAACCAGGACTAACAGTGTCTTCTGCTTATCACAGAATCACTTACTTTTGAACTTGTAGCACATAAGCTGCAGACCATCAAGTCAGTCAATAATCTAGCATGGTTGGGAGAGGGGGTCATGAGTCTGCACACCTCCTTGAAAAGTTATGGACAGTTGATAGATTTGGGGGTTGGGGAGAATTGACTTTTTCTTAAAGTGTGGCCTTAGTCTGTCATGCTCCTGTGGTTGGCCCTACACCCAGGATTGCAAATTTGTTTCAGTGGATTATTAAAGAAAAACAAAGAGGACACAGAGTTTGGAGGGGTGGAAAGATAGATGGTGAACATAGGAAGAGTTAAGGGAGGAGTGGGGTCTGAATATTTTAAAAACTCATTGTATTGATGTCTCACAGGGTTGATAAAAATATACAAAAAAGAGGACATGGCTGGGATGGGTCTGAGAGGAACTGGGGGAGGAGTCAGGTAGAATATTATCAAAATACATTGCTTGCATATATAAAATTCTCAAAGAATTAATAAAAATATACTAAAATATATAACCAAATGGCATTCTTTTACTTCCTCCCTTTCAATCTGTATGCCTTTTTATTTATTTTGAGTTTTTTTTGTTTCTATGTGGCAGCTATGGCCTAAGGTTTAATGTATGCCTATGGTTTAATTTGTATAGAGAGACATTCGAGCTCATTTCTGATTTTTTGGATGGAGTATTCTGTCTTTTCAATATCACATGTTTTCTTTCATCCATACAATCTAATTAATGTGTACATGTATATAGACATACACACATCAAAGCTAAAGAGACAACATTTAGAGAGAGAAAAGAAACTAAAGTGTGGTAGAAACAAGAGAGTGATGAAGGAAAATAAAGATGAATATATTTTTCTCATGTATAGAGTCTTCATTCAATTGTATGTGTATACATGTATGTGTGTGTGTGTGTATGCATGTGCATGCCTATAACATGAAAGTAGAAGAGGAACTGTTTGGGGTTAAGAAGAGGACTGGGTAGAAGATGAGCACGTGAGTGCAATGGAGGGATATATGAGTAAAGCACTGTGCTAACCATGTGAAAATGTCAGAACTCATCCATCATTTTGAATGCTAAATAAAAATTATAAGATAAGACTATAAAAGTTAGTGAAAAAGAATTATTTACCTTTTTACCAGTAAGTATATTTCTAGCAATGGATTTTTTTTGGTAGATGCATTTTATTGGATTGAGGCTATGTCCTTGTGCTCCTACAATGCCAACTTTTTAATCTGATATTTATCATGAGTGGGCTTTTATGTTGTTAAATATCTTTTCTGCTATACATCTTGGTAACTGCTGTCCTTTTATTTTATACCACTAATACAGTAAAATTCATTGGTGGGTCTTTTTGAGACAAGGTCTCACTCTAGCCCAAGCTATCATGGAATTCATTGTGTAGTCAAGGCTGACCTCAAATCTGTTGGAATCCAGTTGTCTGAACCTTCTGAATGCTGGGATGTGTGCATAAGCCATTAGACCAAGCTTTAGCATTGGTATTTAAATGAAAGTCGTTTTGCATTTCTAGGGTAAGCTATGTTTGATGTTGGATGTTTTTCATACATTTTTGAAATCAAACTGCTAAAATTTCATGAGAGAGGTTTGCATCTATGTTCGTGAGGAATATTGGTCAGTAATACTACCTGTGGCATCTTTTATTTCTTCATAGAAGTAATGTTGAACACATTAAATAAATAGGGAAGTTCTTTCTTTTACCTTCTAAAAAGGCTGTCAGATTGCTTTGGCATTTTGTTCATTGGACATAATTAATACTAGTGATGATTGAGGCATGTGTTGAGTCAATGAATAAAGTATGACATTTCAGTGAGGCAAGTCACAGTGGCTGGGGAAACTTGATAGATTCAACTTAGTCCCAACACAGCAGTAGATTGCTTGTCCAAATAAGGGGATAAAAGCATTGTTGCCTCTTCAAGTCTTAGAACTGTCAAAAGCGTGCCTTCTTTTCCTATGTATAGTGTCTGGGAGACCTCTTCTATATGTAACTAATGTTTGGTCTACAAATCCCCCTGTTTTAGGGAACTACGCAAGGCCTTGTCTGTTGTGAGTGCCTTCAAGAAGAAACAGATAAAGAGACGCCTAGTTCGGAGACAGAGAAGGATGATGATGGCGGCTGCCTCTAATGCACATATGCATGTCAAGAAATTGACTATGGAAGAAGGAGTTTGCAGTAAGTGTCTTTCACTAGATAGGGTCCCTGAACTTGGGGAGGAAACATGAGTATTTTTGTAACCAGTCCCATCACTGACTTGCAGTGTAACCTTCAGCAAGAACTCTCTGATGTATAAAAAAAAATCATTGTCAGGTGCCAAAGTGTTTACAGGAAGAAATGATTTGGCAAGGCATTAGGGAGCAGAAAAGATCAGTAATGACATGAGATTTTAGTATAGGTGTGGTGTTTTATAGAAAGCGGATGGTAGGGGAGGAAGTCTCAACCCTGTGTGACCATTATTTTATAGCTGGAAAGAACACTATGCATCAGCTCCAGGTCAAGGTTGACGCAGCAACCCAGGAGGTAAGAAGAGTCTGTTGCCCAAGGGGAATTTTCCTATCAGCCATTGCCCAGACCCTTTCCAGTATATCCCGAAGACAGTTTCCATTTCTAACCCTATGACCTACTCCTCTTGTGGCACTGGAAAAATCACTTCTCTCTGGACCTCAGTGTTCTCAAATCAGAGTAAAAGGTAAGGTTGGATGGTCTTCAAGGTTCCCACAGCTTGGAATTCTGTGTTCTTATTTTCATCCAAAACTATACTCATTCTTTATCTTTCCATGAACAACTGGGTGTCTGATCCTTATCTTTGATCTCTGCCTCTTCAGGAGAGCTCTGAGGGGCCTGTGCTGCTGAGTCAACCCCCAGAACTAACATCTATGCCATATACTCCAGAGACCACAGGGCAACAACTGGCAGTTTCCCTTTCAGGGGAGCTCCATGGGCTCTCCACCATGCCGAGCATGTGAGTAGGACAAGGAACATAGAATGTACTGTGTTTGGGGATTTCCAACGTTGTGTTTGGTGCCATGGGTGTTAGCAGCAGGAGAATGACAATAGGAAGAAGGAGGTAAAGGAGCAAGGGAAGGAGAAATTAGCAAGGGTAGAAAACTTTCAGCATTGGCACTTTCTATCCAAGAGGATCTGCACAAGTAGTTTTCTAAGTCTTCATTTCCCAGCAAGCATGTTGGTGGACATAGTCTATATCTATACCATTGAAAAGAGAACTAACACAAGGTCTACCACATAGTAGGTCTTCAAAGTGTTGAGAATGTTATTACTTTTTGACAGATAGAGAAGGAAGGTCCTGCTGAAATCTGGGAGCTTTGTAAGGAGGTTTCACAGGGCCTCAGGGGTCTGTCCAAAGGACAGTGAACCTGAATTATCTTTCATGGCAGAGCTAATTGGGGAACGTGGGGGCAACATGCAGCCACTGAAAAAGGATGGTACTCACAATGCCTTCAGCTGCTTTCAGACTAAAACATAAACACTATGATTCATCATCATCATTTTCACTCTAGCCCTGGGAGGAAAAAGCCAGTATAAACTATTGTTTCTGGGATGCAGGTAAAAGGGATGCTGAAAATGAGTCGGCCAATAGAAAGGGCTTGCCCAAAGCACAAGGTTAAATACCCATGCAATCATTTGGATTCCCAAATGTCAGTATTGCAGATTCCTGCTACTCTGTCTACTGGTAGGATATTTCTATGAGAACCTTTCTTTGGTGTGTGTGTGGTTGAGATAGGGTTTATCAGTAGCTTTTGGAGCCTGTCATAGAACTAGCTCTTGTAGACTAGGCTGGCCTCGAACTCACAGAGATCTGCCTGCCTCTGCCTCCCAAGTGCTGGGATTAAAGGTGTGCGCCACCACTACCAGGCTTCATGAGAACTTTTAATACCTTGGCCATTCCTCTTCTTGCAGGTGCCCAAGCCTGATGCTTCAGCCCTGTGCCACTACTGACCCTATGCTACTGCAGTCACAGGTCCTGGTAAAGACGCGGGATTCAGAACAATGGGAGGAAATAAGTTTTGGAAATGTGAACACAAGTAGACTGGGCAGAGTGGGGGAACATCTGGGCAGCAGGTGCTAGAGGGTTACTTATCATAGAAGAGGGCACACATTTCCCTAGTCTTCATTTTCTCACCCTTTCTTCTGCAGGGCCCCAGTGCCTCCAACCAGGCTTCAGTTTCTGCTACCTTGGAGTGGCAGGAGATGCTGGAGGCTGCTGAAGCTCTGATGACTCTGAAAAATTCTTCGCAGACACGTCACCAGCCCTGTGGTGTACCAGGTATGTGGGGATATTTGGCAGACAGAAAGCTGTGAGATGAGTTATTGGTAGCTATCTAGAAACCCAGAGTTGGTGTTTTTAACTACCTTGGAGCCAAGCACTCAAGTTCCTAAGGCTGACTTGAGCAATGGTGCCTAGGGGTTACTCAGTGAATCTTCAGGTCACTACATGTTTTGCTCTATAAAAGTTGCCCAGTGCCCCGACATCAAGAAACAGGTAGACTGAGGTCCCTGAGATAGCAAAATCTTACTCCAGCGGAAGCAGTATATCAAGTAGAAGGAATAGAATTGGATATAATGGTTTCCAATGCATGGTTGTGTCCCAGTCGACTGTAGACTGAGAAGAACCAGTAGAACATGCACAGAGGATAAGGGTCTGGCATGGAATGAGATCATGATGGCCACTTGAAAGCATTTCCAATGTAGATACAGAGCCTGAACAGCCTTATCAGGTAGAATTTTGCCAGTGAATTTCAGTGGTCAACCAAAACAGGAAGGGCTTCCTGAGATCAGAGGAGTATTACATGGTTGGGGAGGCTGAGGTGGAGTCTGGGCACTACTGAGACAAAAACACCAATGGATATTGGCTTGTGGGTGGGAAGCCACTCTGGGTGGACATGCTGGAACAAAAGGCAATTAATGAAACTATAGAGAGATTGTCACTGAGGTCTAGCAGAGTGGGTGATGTAGGCTAGGCCAGCAAATCTGTGGCGTGAGGAGATAGAGAATTTCTTCAGTGAGGATCATATCTAGAAATCCCAGGTTTGACCAAAAGGGATTGCTGGCTGTGTCTGAGGGATGGTAGAGCAAATACCAGAGATAAGGAGGTCTGATGGGGATGGGTATATTCCTGGTCTCTCTGACAAATTTGAGATTGTTTGAGACACAACAAAGGTGAAGAGAGAGCTGAGGAGAGTATCATGTATGTGATCTGACTCTGCTCTTTGTTTCTCTGTCCTTAGGTCCTGCTGGAGAGAGGGGACTGCAGCTGGCCAGCCCCACAATGCCACCTCTGCCTGCTAGCTCTGGTTCACTGACTTCTGGACATCTGGATTGCATGTCCCTCTTGACCTAAGAACCCAGACTGTGAGGCCTTGCTAGAGCACTGCCTGTTTGATTCCTGTTTCTGAATTTGCAAAATGGCTCCTGCCCAAAGTGCTTAATGTGTTTTTTAAGCATTCAGGTATTTTATAAGCTTTCAGATCCTTTTTATGATGTAGGGCAATTACTTGGCTTTCCTATATTCTTTATCCCCATCCTTTATTTCTTTGGAAGCTTGGGGCTTTTTATGTGTCTTATAAAATGCTTTGTGCAATCTAATATGATCAATCAATCTATCAGTGGGGTTCTGAGTGGTATCAAATGCCAGTGTTTTCCTTTGTGTGCACTTGCGCACTTATCTGTGCACTACTGTACTTACATATGTATGTGGAAACATGAGGATTTTTCACATTGCATCTAGATTTGTGTGTTACCAGAAATAAATAATTTTATAAGGCACTAAGAAGTATGGGTTGTTTGTTAAGTGGCGTATGACAAATATCAAGGAAGACTACGTAAACAGTTATCAAGAAATTTATTCTATTGAAGCATCAAGTAAGAGGTTTATAAGAGCAAATATCAGTTACAATGTCTTTCAGAATTGCACAGCCCCTTTATTTGCTACCAAAGTCAACACTGTGTAGTATTCAGTTGTCTTCTTCATTTCTGGATGAGGTTCTGTGTCCTCTAATAATGTTTGAACTCATTGCAGAAATAGAGACCCTATCAGACAGACAGAAATTTCAACCAGACTTTGTCGGATGAACTCTTTCCTTCCAAACCTTTCCTCATTCCATCACAAATGATTGTTGATGACATCTATTTATACTATTTCTTCTTTCCTGATGCTATGCTAGTCAGAATTCTGATATTTTCCATATGATAATGGAATCAGTTAGGATATGGAGCAAGACTGAAGAACATCTCACTTTCCTTCTACTCCCTTGAGAAATTACATGGATAAATGATCCCTAAGTCCATTCATTCCCAATGACAGATGTTTAAGGTCAAGTATTCTTGAAGGAGTATGTGAGGAATAGCCAAGGCCTGCTATACAGGGACATCCTCACCACGAGTTAGTTCCATAGCTGAGTTATTCTTTTTGGATTTGTATGTAGAAGGAGCGGCAGGGCTGCGTCCCCGGCACCCAGCCGCCCACATGGCTTATGCCCTGAAATAATTACACGGAAACTGTATTCTTTTAAACACTGCCTGGCCCGTTATCTGTAGCCTCTTATTTGCTAGCTCTTACATATTAATCTAACCCATTTCTAATAATCTGTGTAGCCCATGAGCTGGCTTACCAGGAAAAATCTTAACCTGCATCTGTCTGGAGTGGGAGCATCATGGCGACTCTCTGACTCAGCTTCTTTCTCCCAGAATTCTGTTCTGTTTACTCCACCCACCTAAGGGTTGGCCTATCAAATGGGCCTAGGCAGTTTCTTTATTAATAAGAAATCACTCCCACATCATTTGTAGACACCACTAGGCAATGTTTCCCATTCTGAATGCACAGAAGTTATGTATGGTGAGTGCAATACTTATATGACGTATAAACCATTATCAATATTTAACTTTTTAGTTGAAATCTATTTAAGATTTCTATTCTGAGCCAGGCGGTGGTTGTGCATGTCTTTAATCCCAGAACTTGGGAGGCAAAGGTAGGCAGATCTCTCTGAGTTTGAAACCAGCCTAGTCTACAAGAGTTAGTTCCAGGACAGGCTCCAAAGCTACAGAGAAACCCTGTCTCAAAAAAACAGAAAAAAAGATTTCTATTCAGATATAGTGTGAAGAAGACATCCAGTTATACAGATACCATGAATTAAACATTTTCCAAAGTAAGTGGCATTCATATTATGATAGTCAAGAATACATGGACTCCAAGACCCATGAGAAGTGTAGAGGTCATTTGAGAAGTCTCAGCACATAGACCATGATTAAAACAAGAAAGAATTCTAGATCTGGTTGTAGGAAAATTCTCAAGTATGTCTCTTTATGCCCCTATCTCTATTATACATAAGGTAGAAAAACCAGGAGAAATCTGGAACACTTAGCCCCTAAGTTAGTAGTGAGAATGACCTGGTAGACTGGCCTATGAATTCAATGTTCTGGGTTATACAGCAGTTATATGGCAAACCAGTTTCTATCTTGCCTGATTTGAAAGGCTGAAGGAAACTGATTGGCCATTGGAAGCCCCTTACAACAGGCCAGAAACATTTAAGAGCTGAAGGTCTAACTGCAGATATCATGTGAACAAGAAACTAGCAAAGATTATACAAGTAACTGAGCCTCTGGCCCATTGGCAACAGTCTTCTTATATGCTAAGCCAGGGTGCAGTCTTGGAAAAGTGTTTTCTTTAAAACCTTCAAATCCAAACAAAACATTAAAAGGCATATATATTAACAAAGAAGGATAGGACAATTACAAAAACAAATTAAAACTCTAAAAGTTGTACTGAAAGAAACTCAGGACTAGGAGAGACATCAAAAAGAACAGAAAAAATCACCCTAACAATGTTTGATAAGTTAAAAGTCAACACAGAGAGTCAAAACAATGTATAAAATAACAACAAAAATGAAGACAGAAGTCAACATTTTTATTAGATCTTTTAATTTTATGTATGAGTGTTTTGTCTGAATAAATGTATATGTTTCACATCCGTGTTTAGTACCTGTGGAGATTCAGAAGATGGTAAGATGATATCGGATTCCCTGGAACTTCAGGTAACTGTAAAGATGTTTGTGAACCACCATGTGGGTGCTGGGAGTCAAATGCAGGTCTTCTGCAAGAACAGGTTTCTTTCCAGGCCCTGCAGTTTCTGATTTTAAACCACTGTATAAAGTTACAATTATCAAAGTGTCTGGTATTGGGCATACAAAAGAGACAAACAGTCCAGGAGAAAACCATAGTGCCAAGAAATAAATTCCTACCCATATGGTTAAATGACCTTTGACAGTGGGCCCACTGGATGAAGGACAGTACTGCCTCAGTATGACATATTGGAAAACCACATGGAAAAATGCGGTTGGTACATGGCATCATCTAAAAATTATCTGAAAAGAATTAAGGCACAAGAAGAAAAAAAGTTGTTGAATTTAAATTGGTCTGCCTTTTCTCAGAACAAGATGAAAACGAAATATTCCTGTTGTTTTCATATCATCTTTGATTTTTGTGATCATTGCTTTGGAAATAATTTAACTTGTGTTCAATTGTGATTGAAATAAACTAATTTAAAATCATTTCAGATTTTCATAATACTTAATAATACAGTGACTCTCCAAATTTGTGTAGCATTTGTATTAGTTTTGAAGTGATGTTCATGAATAACCATGTATGATTATTGATCACCTTGTCAGCAAATAGAAGAACAATTTGAGTGATTAGTTTCATACCTGTGTAAAGCAAGCAAAAGAAAACAATATGAGATATATAGCACCAATATATGTGGGTTAAGATCAATACCAATAAGATCTCCATAAAGAGATTTGACTTTTTTATTCAGTTTACACTTTTCTATCTCTTTTATTCAGTTTACTTTTTAAATATCTCTTAATTGTTACAAAGGATGTTGACTTCATTGTGAAAATGAAGAAAGGCCATGAATTTGAAAGAGACCAAGAAATGGTATATAGAAGTGTTTGGAGGGAGGAAAGGAAAAGGGGAAATAATGTAATATATTATAATCTTTGATGGTTTGAATGAGAATGACCCCCATAAGTTTATATGTTTGAATGTCTAGGTCTCAGTTGGTAGACTGTTTAGGAAAGATTAGCAAATAGGTATGACCTTATTGGAGAAGGTGTTTCACTGAGGGTGAAAGATAGGCTTTGATGTTTTAAAATCCTGTGCCAGACCCAGTTTTATTTTCTCTTCCAGCAATTTACAATTCAGATGTAAGTTCTCAGCTACTGCTCCAGAGCCATACTTGCCTGCCTGCTGACACAGAGTCTCCACTGTAATGATCACAGACTAACCTAAGCCTCTAAAACTATAAGCAAGTATCCAATTAAATGTATCTTCTATAAGTTGTCTTGGTCATAGTATTTTGTCATGCTGATAGAACAGTAACTAAGACATAACCACCAAACAGAAGCAATTTTTCAAACCATAAAAACTGATCAATTATTGCCTTCTTTGTGCATTTTTTATGTGAAATGAGGTCTTCCTATATTCCTAGGTTGGCTTTGAACTCTTGACTAAAGTGATCCTCTCACTTTATTAAAGCTTAAACATTTTATTTCATGGTTTATTCAGTTTCTAATATTGGTGGGGGTTTCTGAGATTGTTGTTTGTTTTGTTTAGAGCTAATGGGCCAGGCAGCATTTAAATAAATACAGTTTCTGTGTGATTATTTCAGGTATAAGCTAGCTGGGTGGTTGGGATGACAAGCAGCCTGCCTTCCTGTTACAGATTGTCACTCACGTGGTCAACTAAATCCATGTGAAATCTAAGAGAGCTTCAAAAACAATCCAGAGTTTAACACGGCTTCTTGCTGTTTGCTGGTGGCTTGCCACAGCTGCTTTAAGAGAGATTTTCCTCATTCAGCTGTAGTGGGAGGGGGAGCCACACAGTTTTAAAATGCCAGCTTTCATGGCTATGCTGCTAATGTGATCTCTGTCTCTTGTGGGAGACAGAACATTTGGATGGGGTTTGTGAGTAAAGTACTATGGCTTGCTTGATGGAAACGTGGACTTGCTGTGTGCCTAAAAGAGAGGCAATACATACAGCTCAGAGGCACAAGCATCTCTGCCATGCTGGACTCTGCAGAGTGTGGGCAGGAACTACTATCTTTACCATAATAACAGCACAGCTTAAGTTTTAGACTGGGAAGGCAAACAGGTTGTACCGTATTACTCCTAACAAGGGTATACCTGAAGATTTTAAGAAGCGCTTAGCATTTTAAGAAGTGCTCTTGGACAATTAAAGACTTACAGATTCGGAGGAGATCCGGTCCAGGCACCAGGAGAGACATCACTGGGGTGAGTGAGTTTCTGACCGCGGCAGCAGCCAGGGACAGGGAACTCAGACACCCCTCCTACACTTCCTGGTCATCCTCAGGGGCTACTCTGCCTGATACCACCTCTCTCTTCCTATCCCACGCAGCTTGCATCCACATCCCTCCCCCCCTCCATCTGACTCCCTTCCCTCATAGACCACATAACATCTCCCAGCCCAGCCTGTTCGGGCTCTAGGACCGAATCCGAATTGGCAGGGCAAACGGGAGGTCGGTAGCTCCTTTGTTCCCACTAGCCTGCCTGCAGCGAACTAGGTAGGTCCTTTGTTTATGAGACATCCAAGAAGCAAGAAGACCCGAACCCGGCACCAGGAGAGACATCAGGCTTGCATCCACAACCCACCCAGAGTGGTCCTGAGGAGTTCCATCTGGACGCAAAAACTGGACCAAGACACCAGGCCTCTCCTGGCTCCATTTGAAGGAGGAGATGGGAAGGCGCCAATGCAAGACTTCCTCCAACAACCTGAAAGGCAACATGACTTCACCAGAATCAAGGGATCCCGAAATAAGAAGAATTGTACACCCTACTCCAGAAGAATTAGAAGAAATCGACTCAAAAGTGAATTATATGAAAATAATAGAAGACCTTAAGCAGGAGGTGAAAAACTGCCATAAACAATTAGAGATTACAAACAAAAAGGTAGAGGAAATGAATAAATCGCTTAAAGATACCCAAGAAAATCAAGA